TAAACATAAACTAGGCAGCGGGTGTGGAGGAGGAGGGGAGCGGAGGCTACGCTTGCATTGGTATTTTAAACACTGGCAGGCGCATAATCAAAACGCTTAAATTATAATAACTTTATTAAGTCTCGACTCTCGGCGAGTGAGCAAAAGTGAATTCGGTGGGAGCAGAGTCAGGCACACACACACACACACACTCACTCACTCACACGGGTCCCTCTCACCTAGCCCAGCCTAAACAGGTGTAGTGCAAAGAAAGCAACAACAATTGGCAACAACTCAAATGGCTCCGAACATACAGCAAAGCCGTGGCACAAGCGTTTTTGTCTGTTGCCCATTTTTTCGAGTGGTTTTTACTTGCTATACACAGCATTGTTATTGTTGTTGTTGTTGCTGTTTATGATTGTTTTTTCATTTTCTCAAGTGATGAGTAGGATATCTGTCTGTTCGTACAGCAATGGCAAGCAACAGCCACAGCCACAGCCACATCCACAGCAACAAGCTATTTGCGACTCACGACTTTTCATGCAATTTTGAATTTAAAATTCTTCACACACTCTTTTCATTATGTGGCTTCATTCCCTGCCACACCGCTGCCGCTGGCCCCTCTCACGCCCGGCCTGCAGTCCAGTGCCTGTAAAAATGGCCCGCCATCGAAGCCAAAAGGCAGCAAAATAAGATGCTACTCTTGTGGCCATCTTGAAGTGGTTGTTGTAATGGGCGAGCGTGTGTACCAGCCTGTGAGTGTGTGTGTGTGTGTAGGTGAATATGCGTGTGTGTTGAGGCCAGTATAGTGGAAGACGCCTCAGAATCACGCGCCATTTACGTTTTTATTGGCGCTGGCGCTGTTAGCAGATCACAGTGGGCAAAGTAAGAATTTAAATGCGTTAAAATAAATGGAAATGCAATTGTAATAAGGTATTATAATAATAAATATAAATATATATTTAAGAGTACTACTATTTTTATGAACAACTACTTTTTTCTAATTTTTCTTTCTCAAGTACTGAAGTGCCTATGTTCCTTAGTTTATTGCAAAAACGTATCAAAATTAATGAGAAATATTTCAAATTTATTTCACATTGCTTTCAAAATATTATGTGTGTCATAAAATTGTCTTGTCCAACATTGAGTACCCCGTCGCACTACTATTTTTATGAACACCGCTGCATTCCCTAAAACTCTTTTGTAGTATAGTCCTTTTGCCACAGTTTCTGCATAGTTTGATGCCACTGTGCAGCAAAGCGCGTGGATTTTGTGTTGGTGTCGTTGGCGATGATGAGGCTGACGTTGACGATGACTGGGCTGCCTGCCCTGCTCAGTGGCTTAGTCCGCTTGCTACGGATGTGTCTGTCTTGGACTGCGATTGCCGCTGCTGCTGTTGTTGCCGCTGTTGCTGCCGCTGTTGCTGTTGCTGTTGCTGTTGCGACTACCACTTGGTGGTCCAATTCAACGAATTGACTATAATCAGTCTAGTGGCAAGTACTTTTCGAGTGCCCACTCATGCACTTCTGTGCAGCGTGAAGAGTGCGGAGTAGGTGCAGCTGTGGCCAGTGTGAGTCTGTCTTGGTCGGCGAGTTGCAAGTGGTTTTTCGCTAGCAACACGCTCTCTCCCATATGCAAATGTAGCTTGCGCCACTCGGTCTAGAAACGTCAGGTACACTCGAAGCATGGCTCTCAAGAGTGCCGCGAAGCACACACACAATTAATTTATTACATACAATGCAACAAATTACACCACTCATTAATATTTAAGCCAAGTTTTGCGTAGCTGGCCCACAGACCAGCTGTAGCTTGTGGTGCAAGGTGGTTGGCAAGGAGTTAGCCTGTTCTTTTTGGGGCGGTACATGCCCAGGGACGTCTCAGCCGGCCAGCGCTCATACCTAATAAATCTGTAATTTGTAATTAATGTGAAAAATTGCCGCCCGAGACGCCAAACAAGCCTAAATTGTTATTACGAGCCACGGTGCAGGTTCAGAGCCGGAGTTCCACTTCATAAAAACTGCACACAACATGTGTACGATAGAGCTTGTGTGTGTGTGTGTGTGTGTGTGTCGCTCAGGCTGTCTGTTCGTCGTTTGGTTCTGTTGTGGGTCAAAGCCATAACTCTTCGACAAGTTCGGCAGTTCGACAAACGCATGTGCCTGCGGGCCAAGTCTGGCTTGGACTGGTCAACAAAAATGTTGGCCCAAAGGCGGCTCGGTTAATGTTCGTGCTGTGTTTCATAAATATAAATTAAGCCACTTGACTAACGCAACAGCGCCAGTGTGTTTAAGACTCGTATATCTGAAAAGTTGGTCAACAGATTTGCCGTATCTCTCGTTGCCAAAAAAATATCACTACTATGGCCAAAAAGACAAAAAAAAAAACGAGCAGAGAAAATATGTTAACAGAGGCAGACGGGCATATCGCGCCATTGTCTGCTGAAAGCAACTCATGCGGCGTGATTAATATGGAAGATGGCCAAATCAGATCCATAGCCCACGATTTATGATATAGACGGGAAGCTGCGAGCAGCTGACAGAGTCGCAACCGAACTGTGTGACAACTTAATCAAGTCAAGAGCGAAGAACTTTACACTATATAAATATATCGAAATATATATTCATAGTATAAGACTTTTAGTGAAATAATTTATTAACATCATTAGGTATCATTTGGGAAAATCTTTGATGTTGGTTTAAAGATGAATTATAGATGAATATTTTCTGTTAAAATTTACACTTCAAGCTAGACTCCAAAGTAGAAAACTTCTGGAATCCAAACTTCAGCTTACTTCAAAAAACACTTCACTTCAAACGACGACCTACCCATTTCAGGTGACAAAAAAGCAAGCGAATCATTCAAATTAATTACTTGCAGTTGCCTCAGAGTTTTCATGTTTCTTATTTAACAGAAACACAATTAGGCCATTAAAACTGCTTTAAATAGGGCACAAAATGTCTGCATACGTGATTGATAATATTCGAAAGCAATTCACAAAAAAAAACAAACAAACACACTATATATTACGCTATGGATATTTTTAGCAATTATCCGCAATGAGGCTGTGAAGCACAAGAATTCGCACTATTGCCCTTTTTCTGTAGCTCCCCAACTATTCGAGGCGGTCAAATTGCTAACCGGTCAGTCACCGAATCAAAACAATTTTGGATCATGCTGGCCAAGAGGTAACGCAGTTGAGTGAGTGATTCAATGGAGCAAAACGTGAGCCCAAAGACGTGAGACAACAGCAACAGCAACAACAACAACAGCAGCAGCGGCAGCAACAGCAACAATAAGCAACGTTTATATGCCTGATGAGCGGGCGCCTTTGAATGCGACCCCAAAGATACGAGTATAACAATTTTTTTCGTTCACTTGTGATATTTATTTTTTTCTCAACGAATCAATCACAATGATTATGATAAATGATTTTGGTTTTTCACTATTTTTTACTGTTTTTTTTTTTTTTTTTGGGTCTGCCATTGTTTGATATCCATTTTAATATTTTTCTTCTTTGATTTTTCGGTATTTTTGCATTATTACGCCGCGTAATGGCCGATCAGCGAGTCGGGCTGTAATTGCCGGCATATAAATCACAGTGAAAAGATATAATTTCTGTTAGATGATCTGTGTGTCTGACCGTAGTTGATTAGCACATTTGTCCAGCTCCAGCAGCTCAATGGAGTTTCACTTTTATATCAAATATTTCTTGCAGCGAAAACGAAACGTTAAAGCAGCCAACACGTAATGCTGACCCAATGAACTCTTCAACAGTACTTGCCATTTTTTTTGCCTCTGCCCCCCTCAGTTGCTTAGTTAACGGTTTCGATTGTGCGCTTTGACAATACAACGTTTATTTAGCGGCTTTCGAGCTTATCGCATTTTTCTAATCTTGTTAAGAAACTTCATTAGTGTCAGACTGCGGACGCCTTCCATGCATTGATTAATGTGTGTCAGGCGGAAACTTCGGAGCACCGAAACGTGTAACAAGGCGGCAATGGACCACCAGCAGATACCAGCCAGGCCCAGACCCAGACCCAACTAACCAGCTTTGGCAACTAGAAACCTGAACCTGACTCACAAATGTGGCTATGTTTGCATAGACCACGCCCCTTTCATGTTAGTCGCCTGCAATTTGAGGTCTTTATTGTGCACTTTATTTATAAAGGTGGAAACTGCATCATTAGTTTGCGCTCCAAGCTAAGCATGTGCCCGAACCTGATAGCTACAGAGAGACAGAGAGAGATTTATTCAGTTTAATTTGTTAGATAAACTACACGAAAATTAAAATCGTTAGAATAAATAGACGAGATGTGCTAGGAAAATAGATAAATATATAGTTGATATATATGTAAAATAAAGTAAAGGAAACATAAATATATAAAGTTATTTTATGTGTTAAAAATAGGAAGATACTGCTTTCTTTCAAAGCAGTCTAAGCCTACTTTGCCTGGCTTATATAAATTGGTTCCGGGTATCTCCAAGTCAGGCACACATTAGAGATCCCTTGCTTGTTGAGATTGAGTTTCTTTAGATGGGCAATAGGCAGCAAAGTAAGTACCACAAGCCAGCTATACTGATATAAGTTTTTTAATAAAACTTGTTAAAGCCTTAATTAAAATCTCATGATTCACAAAATATCGTATATGACACACATATCATATATCACATATATCACAACTAAACTATTTCGAAATCATATTGTAAATTAATTCGCTAACTGAACCTGCTATGCATCTAGAGTCTTGCATGGCCTGAACAATGTCTTTTATGTTATACAAGCCGTAGCATATGCATTCATATATTTTAAAAAATAAATTGCAACTTTTTGGGGGAACAACTTTCAAAAAAGTGCTAACATGCTGCCGTTGTGGTAGTTAGTTGTGGCTTTAAAAATTTAAATTTGACGTTATTTGGCAACATTTTTGGCTGGCTTTAATAATTTGTGACAAGTTTTTTAATAAATGTGCTCAACTATATTTATTTAATTTTTTCTCTCCATTTTTGCTCATATTTTGCAGTCTCGTTTGTCGGAACACCCAGCACGCAATCCATGTGGCTGATGCATTGACAGTGCTCCGCAGAGACACTTGTCGCCCAGCTGAGTGAGCCGCGTGCTCGGTTGAGCTGTGAGAGGAAAAATGTTTTCACGGCAGCCGGCCGCTGGCGGCGCGGATATTTATCAGGATGAGGCAACAACGACGCTGCGTTCAGCGTTTCCCAACTCTCGACTGGATTCGCTGGCGGCGCATCCAACGCCCGCGAATCAACCAGATCCCAACATGGACAGCCAACTGGCTGCGCCCGATCCAACCGAACTGGGCGGCGCCAGTGCTGGCTATAATCCGCTGGACGACGACTGGTGGTCCAATGCCATTGAGGTGGACACGTTCGATTCGCCGCTGGCCTTCGATGCCAGCGAGAATGGGCTGTGGAACGGACATTTTGTGCCACCGCCGCCGCGTCCACCCTTTCTGGATGAAAGCGTCGCCGCTGACGGCCTGACCACCTGTGATCTATGCACGTGGGCCTGGCAGCGTAATGCCTACTCCCTAGACGGTTCGATAGGTGAGTACCGATGTCTTCCTTGCCCTCCCACTAAGCCCTCCCCCTTGAGTAATGGGCCCTTAAGCCCCGCATTGTAGTTGTGTTTCTTTCTTCTGTTTGCCTCTTTTTTCAATTAAAAACTCAGCCCATCCTCAACAAGACAATACGAGTTATCGGTGCAGCGCTAGCCGAGCAACGCCGCGCATCGCCGCACATCGATCGCTGATATCAATTTATCAAACTGATGTTGGGCGTGCGTGGCGCGATTGCTTTTCGGCGCTGTATTTTTCAAAAGCCCAACTTTTTCCGGCTCTTGGCCGGGTCTGGGCCGGTTGGAGCTGCTGCCGCTGCTGCTGCCGCTTCACTTGCGTTTGCAAATTTAATTTTGCGCATAACTCTTGGTGGCACAGCCTTTGGCTTAGGCGTTCCCTGCCTCGTTCCCTGCCTGGATTCGGTGATCGCGGCTGCTCCTATCGCAGCCATCGCTCGCTTCAGTCATTTGTCTCTGCGCTTGTAAAATCGCGCAAAAAGTAGAAAGAAGGCGGGGCGAAAAGGGCGCTGCAGACCTCAGTGTAACTTGGCTTAGACGAAACATCATGAAAAATATGAGGCAGTGGGCGTGTGCAGCAGCAGAGCCCGCTGCAGCTGATGCTTAAGATTAGGACTCTGCCTAGACGCTTCCACTGGGCTGCTTATAAAGCATTTTTCTTTAATTTATTTGAACAGAAATAAAGCAATACACACGCGGCTATCTGCGAGGCGTATTAAATTAAAACTGAAATAGATCTTGTCACAATTAGATAAGTGCCGGAGTAATTTTTGAAGAGAAGTCTGGAAACGGAAGTGGCATGAAATGGAAATGGGGTATATCTTAGTATTGGTATATAGTCTTAATGAAAACCTGTATAATCCCTTATCTGATTGGACTCTTAAGTGGATGATAAATAAATGAAATTATAAATGTATATGTATTATATAGACTTCATGCACTTCGTAAGCTTTATGGACTTTATATACTTTATATGCTTTGTATACTTTATATACTTTATATACTTTATATACTTTATATACTTTATATACTTTATATACTTTATATACTTTATATACTTTATATACTTTATATACTTTATATACTTTATATACTTTATATACTTTATATACTTTATATACTTTATATACTTTGTATACTTTATATACTTCATATACTTTATAAGCTTTGTATACTTTATATACGTTAAATACTTTATATACTTTATATATTTTATATAGTTTATATACTTTATATACTTAATATACTTTGTATACTTTATATTCTTTAATACTTTATATACCTTATATACTTTATATGCCTTATATATCTCATATACTTCATAATTTCTTTTACTTCATTAACGTTCTATACGATCATATAGTTAAAATAATTCTGAAACTCCACACTTTTCATTAACTTCATATTCCTCAAATAATGCTTGCATATTTAAAATGTTTTGCATCATTTACATGCTTTATACGCTTCATATGCTTCATATACTTCATGTATACTTCCTATATGTACTTTATAAACTTCAAATACGGCAAATTCTTCATTGTTCGCCATACACTAAATTTTTTCCTGCTAAATTCATGTGCATATTAATTCCACAAGGCCCAATCAAAGCTCAACTGTTGAAAACTTGTTAGAAGTTACCCCTTGAATAGCCCAAATACCAAATAGCAAATGCACAAAGCGAATACCAAATGACCGTTGGCCACATTCGCATATCCAGCAAATATGAGGATGAGGATGAGTGGATGGAGGGTATATGTGGCATGGCATTTAGCCGTTTGCCGTATTTGATTTCCAGGAATCGCTTTCAGCGCAAATTGAAGTCATTATGCAGGAAGAGCCGGGGTCGGTGCTGTGGCAGGAGTAGGCGAAGCCTACTATTGCAGCTGGCGGCCAAAAACAAGGCAGAGACCGTTGCCCGTTGCCAGTTGCCCGTTGCCCGTTGCCCGGGTTATTAGGCTAATTATAGACTGGGGCAAACATTTCAGTATTTCTCATCATGCGCTCATATGGAGCTATACATATATATTTATATATATACATATATATATATATATATATATATATATTTGTATAAATGGCTTTATTCATGCCGACTGTTTGTCGCGCCGTCGCGCCGTCTGCTGCCGGCGTTTGCCCCAACCGCTGCCAACGTGTCAACTAATTTGCAACACTCGCCTGGACTAGTGGAGCGGGCATAACTGGTCAGTTCCCTGGAAATACCTGCGGCGGCAGCGGCCCAAGCTTGTTTTTTTTTTTTTTGAAGGGATTAAGCGGCAACAGCTTCTCCATACGGCAACAGGCCACAACAGCAGTGGAAAAAAAAGCATTTGACTAATGTCTTAATTTTGTGCCTAGGTGTTTTGGTTGTTTCGGCCAGAGCAGTTGCTGTGCTGCGCTACACCAAGCCCAAGTCGCCAACATCGAGTCGTGCCTCGGCTGCAGCGAATGCCATTCACTTCGCTTCATCCGCTGGAGCCCTGGCAAATTGAGCTTTTGCATGTCGTGGCCCATGTCTAGATTTCTGTTTCGTTTTGTTTGCCGCTCAAATTGACAGCTGAATAAAATGTTATTATATTTACACCATAATTTGCATGGCAATTAATCAAATGGCATGCGAAATTCTGTCGCTTCGACGGCAACACAAAACACAAGCAACAACAGCAACAATCTTTTTGTTTGCGACACATTTTTTCGGGCGCCCAGGCAGACAATTCCCAGAACTTTCCGCAATTCTAGCAAAATATCAAAAGGTCGAAACCGCCCGAAATGTCTAAATTATGAGCGCAAAACTTCGAGCCGCAGCGAATTTTGCACGCTGCTTGTTAGTCAGTTGGCAATTGGGTGCCATTAGAGAAGGCTAAAATGGCAAACTGGGGAAATATATGAATGGAAGACACGACGATTTCGATGATAAGATATTTAAGTTGCCGTAGGCTTACACGAAAGCTGAGCTTAAAGCATATGGCTCATATGACAGATATATAATACAGCCTTCCTACACTATCTGGACTTTTCAGATATCAGAGTTTCCTCTTCTTTCTATAGATTAAACGACTGAAAGCCTCTTTTATATAGAGTCAGACTGATTGGCAGATAAGAACAAAGCTATAAAGACTCTCCCATTGATCCATATTTTTTCATATTAATTTAGTATATAAACATCCTCTTTCTATTTCATATCCAAGTCTATAATGAAATCTAAATATATTCTGTGCAGTTGGCACTATAATTTATATAAGATATATCTTAGTTTCCTGCTTTGATTTGGCATATCTATGAAAATCTGCTCAATATAAACGATATTATATATACGATATTAATCGCCACGCATGCTCTTTTCCACCTCATATTCACCTGCCCATCGCTCACCTTGAGCGTCAGTTTATGGCAAATTAAGTTCACGGCTTGATTGTTTAGATGGAATATTTGAGTATAATTTATGCAACGCCTTAGTCGTTTTTATGACCAGCTTTGTGAGAATTGGGGCTGGGTCCGACAAGTATAATCAAGAGAGAAAAAAGGGTTAACAATTCGACATTCCGCAAATATTTACAGCAATTTGTAGCACAATAAAAATGTAACAACTTGGCCCAAGGAACCCACAAAAAGGACTTTGTGTGGCAACAAACAATGACAAAGGCAAACCAAAACCCGACAGCAGCAGCAGCTGTTAAAGGCTGCTTCGACCCGCCGCCTTTGGCACTTTTGATATTTTTATTGTTGTGGCGAAATATACATAAAATCACATAAATAAATTTAAGTTGTTTATTTAATGCAGAGCCCAACAGTGGGTCCAAAGTTTCCAAAGGCTCTGAATGATGGGGCGTATGCTGTAAAGACTTAAACACTTCGAGCCCACCCACTGGGCTGATATCATAAATGGCATAATGCCATTGTGCCACAAAACACCATAAATATTGTAAGGCTATAGACGTAACAATTATTGACAGATTTATGGACAGCAAAAGCTATTCAAAGTGCTTCAGCCCGATTACCAGCTACAATGCTTGTTGAAGCTGGCTAAGCGATGGCTGAGAGTAGCAGCTGCTGGCGCTCTTTTATATGGAATTATATATCGAAACTGTAAAGCCAACACAATAACAATAAACGATATTTAAGCATATCCATTATCAATTTATAGCATACTTTCGAGCACTGAGTACACTGAGCGAAAGCCAGAGGCACAAATGTTAACACGGCTCAAATTAAACTACTTTTTATGCGCATACTTAAAACTCATTAGGGAATAGACAAGGCATTAAAAAATGGCAATTCTTAATTGCCTAGTTGTTTAGCATAAAGTTGATCGCGCTTCATCTCTCGCTCTCGCTCTCTCTCTGTCTCTTAATATATATTGCCATAAATGCTGGGGCCACTCAGTGCACATACCATGGCAAAAGTACTCAAAACAAATATTATATGGCACATTAAATAAATATTATATTGAATACCGGAATGCCTTGTTATTTTCTTGCTGCTCGCTTTCAAGAAGCAATTATGATTTTCAACTTTTCCGCATCGTTTGGTCGGATACGCCCCATGAACTGTTTGCTCACTGGCATTGGCTCGTTAACGCCTGCCGTTCAGCCAATACTAAAGCAAAATAAAGAAGAAAACAATAATATGAGTCTAATCTGTAGATTATGAACGAAAAAAAACCGCAAATGCCACAATTTTTTCGACTTCTTCTGTCTCTAAAAACAGCCTCTGTTTCGGCCAAGAACTATTCAAATTTGTAAGCGGAAATGAGTGAATTCTTCTCATGTTTTGTTGCTTTGCAGATTGTGTTGTTTTTTTCGTTGGTTCTGTTTTTGTTTGAGTTTTGTTGTGCTGTGCTCTCAGTCGTATAATTGTTGCAACGCACTGCGGCCGGAGGCCATAAAAAAGTAAACATAATACACACAGAGAGAGAATGCAAGCTGAACCAGAGTGCGACGCAGGAGGAACTCCACACCCAAGCAGTCAAGCAGCC